ATATATATATATATATATATATATATATATATATATATATATATATATATATATATGCCAAATACCACTTACTCATCACGAAATCTCCAGAACCATAATGCCTACACATTTTAAATTTGACACATGTGTTCCTCTTGGCTTCTAGGTGCTCAAAATGACCATCAGATCATTAGTATTTCTTATACAGTAATTAACATGCTCTGATGCTAAGGAGTTCTACTCCCCTCCCCTCTTGAAAAGAATTCTGTTCCAACTGCCAGTTGCCTTATATTAATATGCGCTAATATCTAAGGAGTTAGATATTCTACTCCCCCTCCCCACCTGAAAAAAAATCTGTTTCAACTGCCAGTTGCCTCACATTCCGTTACCTCAGTTCAAACTGGCAGACGTTCCACTCCTTCACTCAGGAGCGGTCTTGGACTCCTTACATTACTAAATGTCAGTACCTCACCAAAATGTCTATGCCTTCCACCTATGGAACTGCTTCCAGACTCAAGGCAGTGGGAGCAATGTTCCCTTATGTGTTTCAATCACCAACCACCACTGAGCCAACAGATTGAACTGGACTGAACCAGATTTCTCCTGCATTGCTCGGTCACATCGGTTTGTCATGAAGCATGGGTATCCAGCTAGTATGCTATATTTTCTCAAAGTGGCATTCATGTCTTTGCTTCTGAAAATATTTCCAAAACACTCTTGTGAAATATCTTGAACATGAAGTTCTCAGTTTAGGAAAGCAATGCAGGTAAACATTGACTCGCCCTTACAACCTTAGTTTTGCATCAGGAATTCAGGGTTTATTACAAACCAGAGATTGGAGAGTAGGGGCTGTTCTAGAGGGAGTGGTAGTTTCCTACATAGTAGCTGTTTCATGTGTCTCATATGCTTACAAAATGCAAAAGATAAGACAGATGGTAATTGGCCTCAAGGTTTATGTGTTTATTAGGAAGTCTGTGCTTAAGATCTCTTCACCTTGCTTTCACATTTGACAAATATAGTAGAAGACATCTGTTTTTCAAATTTTAAAATAGAGTAGTTTAAGATATTCAAGTAGGAGAAAATTGGACACATATAAAATAGAGGTTTGACAAATCCTTATATTTTCTTTCCATTTTGGAAAAAACATGCTCATTCTGCAATGAGTGAAGGATTTTTTTTCTCCCTGTTTTTTTTCTTTCCAAGATATTTTTACTGAAATAAAGCTGCTCTTGGAAGCATTTCACTGAATCAAAAGCAAATGATAGCATGCAGGTGTTTGCCTGCAGATATTTTGTACCAAGAAAAATGCTTAAGGCTTTTTGTTGATAGTCACAATTCGGAGGCAATGCCAAAAATTAACATGGTAAGTCAATCGTATTCATTTTTATTGCATTCTGAAGCACTGATGAAATTCAGTAGCAACATTTGAAAACAATTTACAGAAGTAAAGACCCCATTTCATTGTAATTGCTTCTATAAATTTTCCTTTCCTAGGTTACTATTTTTAAAATGATCAAATATATTTGATTTTGATTCTGAAGGCAAGTCGTTCCACTGGTTGGTTGATTGTTTCTTATTGTCAGGAAATTTCTCCTTAGTTCTAGGTTGCTTATATCCTTAGTTAGTTTCCATCCATTTCTTCTTATCTTGCATCCTGGTCTTTAGAAAATAAGTTGACTCCTCTTCTTTGTGGCAGCCCCTCAAATATCAGAACACTGCTATCATGTCACCCCTAGTCCTTCTGTTTACTAGACTTTACATACCCAATTACTAAATCTGTTCATTGTATGTTTTAGTTTCCAGCCGCTTAATCATCCTTGTTGGTCTTCTCTGTACTCTTTCTAGAGCTGGATGCTTATTTACTAAAATCAGCTAACATCAAATAGTTAACTAGCAGTACTGGCATAAAAGGCAAGGCAAGAACAAAGATAAAGGGTGACATGAAAGGCATGCATTTTCATTATGTACGTATATCAAAAGGCACAAAATTTCCAGACTATTGGAGCCCTATGCATAATTTGCAGGAAGAGTCCTACAGAGAGTGGCCTTTGGTAGTTCCAACTTTAACCCTTTTATGTACATAACAGAAACAGAATAGAAATGAAAAACCAGATGATTCTTCCTCTAATTTACAACATAAAGGATAATCTGGTAGACAGATTTATGATATAATCATATATCATTATGTCCTGCAAGTCTGTAGAAGACTGATACTGACATTTCTGGCTTTGAATACAAGGGACAAATTATGAAACTGAGAAATATACTTTACCAGACTCCAAAGTCTCACAAAAGGATCTCTTGAAGATCAATAAAAGTTAAAAAGAAGCTTCCAAATATTTTCCCAATCAATATGTGAATTAAGAACATTATATTTTTATTACACTTATCATACAATCCCTTTTTCAAATTGACAGAAATCCACCACGGCCAATTCTGAACAGTTCAAAGCAGTATGATTTTTTTTTAACCTTAGGCTGTCTCAGTTTTGAAAAAGAGAATCTGTTCTTATACTTCAGCATGTTCATACAGAAGTTATAAAAAGGAACAGTTTAGACCCAAGCACCTCTTTACCTGCAATCAACACCCAGATCAGCATAGATTAACTGAACAAGAAACTGCCAAAGAGCCAAACCAAAGAATCTCTAAGACCATCTCCACCAACACTGACAGGGAAAGCCAGGATATAAACTGACAGCAAACTGCACTCCTTACTAGCACTGATTATGTCACCTAATTTGGGTCTGAGACACCTGCAAGATAACAAGCAAGCTTCAAGAGCACCAAGGATCCCTTATTTCAATCCCAAACTACACATGTTCTCCTTTATTGGTACTGCAGCTAATGTTATAGATACATGCCAGTAATCAAATGTTCAAATTTTGATCATATACCCATGAGAATCCTGCAACAGTTTTATGAAAATCACTCATAAGACACTTTTGTCAGTGCTGTTGTAACTTTAAACAATCACTAAAGGAATGGTTGTAAGTCAAGGACTACCTGTATATTCTTAATTTTAGTTTATTCATGTTATGATACAGATAGATCATACACATATATTCCTAAAACAGACTGAAATTTAATGAAATATAGTATTGGTTACTGTTGGTCCTTGGA